CCCCAGAACCCCAAAACCCCAAAACCCCAAAACCCCAAAACCCCAAAACCCCAAAACCCCTATCTATTTATTGTTGTTGAACTAACTTTTTACTTAAGATTGGATTCTGAACTAATGAAGAGTTAAAATTTGACTTTTGAATGCCCGTATCCACTGCTGCATCTTGGCTGAACTTGCTTCTTATTAGGCATTTTAGCAATGGAAGAGTTGCGCTTGGCCTTCACCTTCTTCTTGACCTTCATCGTTCTTCTGTCAAACGAACTGTCATTGAGACTGGCTCCTGCCTCATAGCGGTTTCAGCTGCTCCGGACATCGTAGCTCATGAAGTGGTTGCTCTTAGGCAGTCCCGCCTTGATCTTGGCCTTCTTAAGCGTCACGTTCTTCTTCGGGGCTCCGTAGGCCAGCGAGTTGTTGATGGAAGTCGATGTGTAGTCCTGGATCTTGTAGAACGACTCCGAGTTGTTTTCTTCGGTGTGGACTCTGTCTGCACGGATTGACGAGCGAGCTCCTCCTTTGCGGTTCGGAGGGTTGCTCTTGATCGTCTGTGACTTACTGCGTTTGTGGCCTTTGTTCTTGGGCACAGTGATGTACTGCTTGAGCTTCTCCATGTCAGCTTGCAGGTAGGGTGACTTGCCGTCTTTCTTCATGATGATGTTCTTGATTCCGTTGTTGATCGCAAACTTCTGAGGCGACCTTGTCGATGACACTGGAATGATGAGTTCTTCGTTGCAGTTGTTGGGGACAGTCACATTTCGACTATAGAACATCTGCATGGACTCGCTGGTGGTTTTCCTGCTGCTGTTAGGGTTGGCGCTGTTGGACTTGAACTTGGGCTTGTGGTGGGGGATTCCGCCTTGGACAAATGATTTTCTGGGAGTTGGGTTCTTTTCGAGAGATTTTCTCGAACCATCAAGTTCATTTTGAAGACCAGAGATTTTTATATTTGCTTCTTTAAGATCTCTTTCAACATTGAGACATTTTTCTATCTTCTTTTCGAGTGCTTTCTTGAGAGCCTCATTCTCTTCTCTCATGATACGAGCTTCGATCTTAAAGCGCTCAGCTTCTTTCTTGAAGACCTCCTGATGCTCTTTTATATTAAGGATCATACGATTATATTCTTTTTCTTTATCTTCAAGCTTATTGATCACGCTGTCTGAGTGAAGTTTCATTTGCTGTTCAATCCTGATATGATTTCTGATATCGTTCTCGTACTTCTGAATAACTTCTTCATAAATTGTAGGAGCATGAGTCAAAGAAGTCCTATTACTAAATGGGATAAAAGAGTCTGAGGATTCAAGAACTTCATCAAGTAAATCATCTTTCTGTGAAGAGATAGTTTTAAAATGCTGTTCTTCTTTTCTCACTTGTGCTCCTCCGGTTTCCTTCAGATCATCACCAAAATTGTTAGTTTCGATTCTCTGACCTTTCTCTGAGATTTCCTTCGAATCTTTAGCTTGTTCATGCTCGCTTAAATTTGAGTCATTCAGCCTTCTGGAGACCTCATCTTCAGCTTTAAGTCCCTCTGGCTTGTAGTTGCTTTGCTTTTGCTTAATTCTTTTATTTATTCTAGAATTAAAGTGGATGATTACTTATTTGTGTTTCTTTAGTTCACTTTGGTGAGCCAGGTAGTCTTCCACTTTTATGTTCATTAGTATTTCTACTGAAGTCTGAATATAATTAATTAAATCCAAGGGGCTTGTGATGTAAAGGTTATCCCTTTCTTTAGATAGGTCTTTTTCATCGTACTCGTTTATCTCTTCTTTGGACCGAACTTTCACGTTGAGGTAGAGGTCGATCAGGGCTTCTTGGATGACAGCCATGGCGTCCATCATGTCATCATCGGTTTTACTATTGTCCATTGTCATTTGAATTTAAAATAATTTCTATTAAATTATTCATTCATGGGGTTTTGGGGTTTTGGGGTTTTGGGGTTTTGGGG